ATTACAGCAATGGCACTTTCATTTGAAGGAACCTTATATTTTCACATGCATAATTTTATATTTACATTTAGCCATCAAGTTTCATACTTTTGATTTAAAACACATTTTAGGATATATTTATTATCAAATTCATATTTTCTAAACGATATATTTTGGAAGAGCATTCAATACCTCTTTTAGCGATTTTACCCAATTTAATATTTCTCTGATAATATAATATATAATAAACATCCATTTCACATTTAAACATCACCTCACTGTCATCAGATCACAATCTTGATTGCCTTACTCTGCATAATATTGCCTCATTTTTTCAAAACCGAACAAAGTATATTGATATACTGATTAATATCAATGAACGTTTCTCATATGCGGAAGTGTCCCGTTTTTCGATTTGTATGAAGCTACCGTGCGTGGAAATACTATCAAAGTGCTGTCAAGGATGCTCTGTAATGGATGTAAACAAAAAACATCCCCTCTGAAGACCTAAGCACTACTGGGAGCACTGCTTCAGTCGTAGAGTGGGGTTGGCCCCTTCTTTTATACTTACATCCATGATCAGTACAGAGCCCGGAGTGTCTCTCCAACTAACCTAAGAACCAGGAGAATCAATTCAAGCAGATTTAGGAAAGTCAACATCTACTGGAAATGCCCCGTGAACAGCAGAAGAAGCGATTAGGCAATCTGAAGTCCTGGAGAAGCTAAAGAAAAATTAAAGCTTCTAAGACCAACTGCACCAAGACTAGAAAACCTAAGGAGATCTAAAAGATTACACAACTGGAATTTATCGAGAAAAGAATGCTGCAATATAATAAGAGCGAATAGCCCAGCTATGGTTTCAAGATAAATACAGTCATTCCTTTTCTATTTAAACAGAACTTTATTTACTTTTAGATATCTATTCAAAATTACTAGTCTTTTAGCTCAAATAAGGATTACTGAATTTAAGTTCTTTTGTTTATGAGTTTTAATGTAATCTGCAAAATTTACTTCGTCTATTACCACTATCACTGTGACTACAAGCCCTTCTTAGTACGAAATTATAAATTTAGAAACTGTACCAAATGATTTAGTAAGACTGATGTGGGTTAAAAATTTTGAAAGTGTAGTGAAAAGAATTACTTTAAAGAAAATGTGCTAAAATTTTAATGTAAGGCTTTCCAGAAGCACTTTGCTTTGACTTAAATTTTTGATGTACAGCATCTTTGACATCTAGTGTATCAAGTAATAAACTAACCATGTAAGAGTAGCGATAAGAAGTAGAAATTGGTTACACATAACATAGACACATGGCTTTTACACAACATGAAGCTGAGTGCAAGAAGATTCAAGTGTGTTGAAGTAAATTGTTAAACATATGACAAATGCAGCATACCTGTTAGTGTGAATGTATTTGTATAGTGTAATAAAGTACTTTTCCTTTTAGGAAAGCTTATCTCCAGGATCGTTTACTATACTTTTCGAGATCTGTACCCCAACAGTCTCGGCTCTGAAGGTATAATACACATGAACCGGGTTCTTATATCTTAAATATCATGTAATGTGATAATCCAATCATTCTGAGCTGAAACACCAAAAATACTGCAACGTTTGTTGAGGCCATCGCCTTGGACTTGAATCAGCACTCTTTCACTGCTAACGAATTTTCTGCCTAATAAGGAAAATCACCACCTAAAGCTGGTCCTCATAGTTGGAGATGTAGGTACAAATATTCGCCGGTTAGTTCCAGAAAAGCTAGGCATCTTGACATGCCAAACATCAGTATAATATTTTTTTTGTTTTTCAATGTATAAGCTTTGTGAAAACTCTGCCTGAATATAAATTAAATTCTCAACAAAGGTCACTAAGACCATTGTTTCTGAATTATTTAAGTTCTGATGAGGGCGACTGTAGGGTTTTATGTTTACCAGCCAAAGATTTTATCATTTTCCTTTACTTCTGTTGGCTTTCATGGGGATGCAAAACAGATTTAATTTAGTCAATATATACAGTCTTGAATTCAAGAGAAAGCTTTTGGCAGCTACTGCTGACATTCTCGGTATTGTTTCTTACAGCAACTAGTATTACTTATTTCAACTTTAGCTCTGCCAGCCGTAAATACTTGCAAGAGTTTGAATGCCTGAGCCAAAGCTTGCAGACGAGATTAACCTCAAATTATTCTCATTTACTTATCAATTGATCCTTCAACACAAGTTAAAAATGACAAAATATACTAAAATTGACACTAAATATCTTGTTCAATTTTTGTCGCAGAGTCAAATATTTTGTTTTTAAATTTTCATAATGAGCATAATATTAAGAAATGGGAAATGTATAAAATATTAAATTTCATAATTTTACTAAACTGATAATTTTTTAACTTAAAAATGCCAAAATATGAATATCTGAATCACTTAAAACTTTTTTTAAAAAACTGAAAGTAAATGCCTAAGACCAATGGCTGTAAAATTAAAAGCTGGGTTATGACTTTTGTGAATATGGTATGTGTTACTGGTGTGTGATGTGTATGTTTTTTTTTTTTTTTATCTACAAGAAACATCTACAATATTCAGAAAGATACTGCACATGTTGCACTTTTTGATAAGCAAAGACATTTTCCTCTCAACATAAAATATTTATGCATGTCTTTGGTGTACATATTGTAACAATATGTACACCAAAGACATGCATACATATTGTTACAATATGTACAGGCATGGTAAGATGGCTTCCCCGCAAAGTTGTTTTAGGGTTACCATAAAAATAGCAAGGAGAGCAGGGTTGCCACATTTGGTGAGAAATCATCCATTTGGCAATATACCATGGATGGTTGGAGAACCTTCTGGAACGAATTCTCACTGGTTTAGCCCAGAATGTTCTCAAACACAGGCGAAAAGCTATATAAACCCTGCTGGTCTGCAGTCACTCAGTGTGTGCTACATCGAGAGGGCGAGTGTGTATGCCTTATCTAGAGCGCGAGTTAGTATCGAGTTGGTGTCTTGTCTAGCGAGTCAATCCCTGCGGAGTCGATCAAGTTGACAGCTGGACAGCGAGTGCCGAGTGGGTCGTCGAGTGCACCGAAGGAGTCTGTTAGTGTATTGCGGTTACTGCATCGTCAAGAGAGCGAGTTGAACGATTGAACCGAAGAGTCGGGAGCTGTGCACATGTGTCATCGAGTGCATCGCGAGTTGTAGTGTCGAGTCTCGAGAGTACGTGGAGTTCTGAGAACGACCAAGCAGAGTCAGGAGCTGTACTCCGGAAAGCAGAGGCGGGTGCTTTGCAGGAAGCTGTCTCCACCATTATTGCCTGACAGTGCTGTGCGGGTGATTGTTCCAGCGTGTTTATAGTAGATCTTCAATGAGTATAAAAAGTGATTTTGGAGCTATCTGATTAATATTGGTAAATAAAGTCTGTTTTGATGCTTCATCAAGTGTCGTCGTTATTCACTCCAAATCTACGTACCCCGTACAAACTGATGTCAGAAAAGATAAATGTAATAATATTATATCACATATTATTACAAAATTAAGTCTTATTACATCCTGTTAAATATTCTTCCAAACAGCTACTAAGTTCATACATAAGTTTCATAATATAATTATTATTCTTACTTAAGTGATGTAGCTTATTCAGAACTTATGACATAGGTGTAGTGACTGTCAAAAATGAAATTAACAAAAATTACGAATCTGTTTCTACATAAAATGCAACTTTGTCTATCTATTTAAGAAATGGACTTTAATTAAAAAATTACATAACTTTGCAAATTTAATGGTCAAGATCACAGAAAATGGGAAAATTAGAGTGAAATATTCTTGTCTCCCTAAATTTTAGTGTTTTTTTTTTTTATTTTAACTGCATATCTTAGTACATTTTAGTTAAGAGTACACAACATTTTAAGAAACAAATGAAAATTAGTAAATACAAAACAATTTTTGCATCTTTTCAAGGTATTTACTAGTATATATTAGTGACTCAGATATAAAATATTATGAAAATTAACAAAGTGGCAACCACTGAAATGACTCAGATATAAAGTATTACAAAAATGAACATAGTAGCTACCATTGAAATAAGTCATTTGCAATGGAAAGAAAGAAAAATCAAGAATAACACGTTAGCAGCAACTCAGAGGATAATGCAGATAATTCAGAGTAAAAGGACAAGCTACAAAAAATAAAACCTAATTTAAACAGACTAGTTGAATATTTTAAATGCATACACGTTAAATGAATACTTATTGTTGATCAACAAATAATACAAGACACAATGTATGTTGCAAAAATCTAAAGCATGGGACTAACAAAGACTTTTTACAGTGCCACTCATCAGAAACCTTTTACAACCATAAAAATTTTACTAGTAAATAAACACTAGACACATAAACGTGATCCAAGTCACCAGATGCAGGAACTAGTAAAAATGTTATGATAAGAATGCCAAAATCTGTACTGAAGCAGTTGTTTCACTTCAACAAATAGTTCACAAGCATTCTTCTACTCTTAAAATTGGGGGGGGGGATTCAGTATATTGACAGTGTACAGCCAAACAGATTATATAATGAAAAAATTAAGAATAACTCTCCACAGCATCATTATAAATGCAGTTAGAGGGCATGACAATAAAGGCACATTTTACATAATGCCTTTATTGAGCACGCTTAGCAAAACTAAATTAACAGGTATTGTGAAAGAAACATGAAAATCATTTCCAAATATAACAAACACGTAAGTAGACTTTCTTTTCTTTTTTTGACATTTTATTGAATAAAAATTCAGGCAAGAAATCATACTACCATATAATACTTTACTTATTAGATTTAAATTAAGTGAATGTTTGCCTGCTACACATGGACTATTCCATTTACACAAATTGTTCAGTGCACAATTTAAGCTGTAAGGATCAAAAGAGTTTATTGGAATTCAAAGTTGAAATTGTATCTTCTTTACGCACCTTGAATGGAAATGAATTCTTATATAAATAAAAAGGAAAGGCGAAAAAAAAGGAACGAAGTCCCATACTTCCAGTAAAAAATGGGTGAAAAGATGAAACAGCACAATGGCTAATATTTTCAAAGAGGGATTGCTGCAAAAAGCCAGCATGTAAAAAGATTTTAAAAATAAAAATTAGAAATGCAACATATATTCAACACATAAACCGACTTTATATATACACATGCGTAAACACTGTACACCAATCTGTTTCCAATCTGTTCATTATATTCAAAATCACTGAATTTAGTGAAAACTCATTTTTTATGTAGAGGGTGATATTTGTTAACTTTAATAAAGTTTTTTTAATAGCTAAATATACAAGTTTAAAAAAATTAACTGTTATATTGTTTTGAGAAAGCAATATCTATATGTAAAATGTTGAATTCTGCTCAAAAAATTTTTTTTGTTACAAATTATGTAAATACTCATATTCACTCACAAGTCCATTTTCAAAAATTATAAATGCAGTAAATGCATGCATATGCCACTGATTTAATATACATAATATAGAATGGCAGTACTATAATTAGTAAAGACAGCTTGTTTGAATGCAATTTTTGTCATAATGCAGTAAAATGTTTGTTTTACGAGTTTAAAATCTTAACTAACATAAGATATATCGACCATGATTTAGATTTTGTAATTTTTAAACAATATAAAAATGATTTTTTTTTAAATTTAAAACACATAACATAAATATTTGCATCACTTAAAACTGTTATGCCACTGGAAGTATGCTTATGATAACAACTGTAAAAGTCACATGATTTTTATTGATAGAGTGTGCACATGTGTATGTATCATACAAAATAACAGCTTAGTAAATCAACAAGTAATTACTGAAGGTTGAGTGAACTGAGCTATTTTTAGATAAAGCATATTGAAGTTTCCAATGAAAAATAAGGTGTTTTCTCCTGTTTATGTAAAGTTTAGAACTAATACCTCCGAGTACAGCTATTGACCTTCAAGCTGTTAGCTGATCCATTAATGAGGATTTAATAAACATTAGGTTTTTTCTTGCTATTTAGGAGATCTCAAATCTTCAAATACAACAAAGGGAATAATTTAATTTTGAAAAATTAAAAGAAACACAAAAATAAAACCTTTTTCAAGCAATATTTTCTAACCAAATTTTTACACCTCAATCTGATAAATACACAGCTTCCTCTAATTAATGTCTTTTTTAAGGGGCATATATACCTAAATAAAAAAGATAAGCATAAAACGAAAGACAAAAAAAAGAAATACTTTTTATTGCACATATTTTAAATTTTAATAAATAATAAATAACATAACACAAGACTACGAAGATGGAAAATAAAATGGAAAAAAAAAAAAAAAAAACTGATAAAAACTATATTGTAAATTTTAACAATAAAAATTAACAAAAGTAAATATAAAATGCATGCTAAGAATAAACAAAAATATCACAAAATATTGGTTTGAAATGTATCTTGAGCAAAATCATCATCAAATGCTTGTACTTAATATGCTTACAGGATCATTTTGGCATTGATGGGTTACTGAAAAAAACCTGTACAGAAAAGCAAATAAATAAATAAATAAATAAATAAATACATATAATAATGAACAATAGTGAAACTAAACTCACATAAAAATATAAAATTAAATATATTTATTTCAGAGAGTTAATCAGCCATATCGGTTAAAAGCACACTAATTAACACAATTAATATATAAAATAATCTGACTTCTACTTTAAATTTGTCAAGTGCTTTGCTTAACACAAAAAAAGCACCTTGATATGTACCAAGAAGACAGAAAATGAATACCTGTCTAACAAAATGTGGGTCCAGCACATAACACCAAAAGTCTTCATCAACTATGCGTAGATGCTACATAAGTATTCTTTGAACATAAGTTGTTTTTTTTAAGTTGCCTTTTGAACTTCAATAGCATAAAATTACGAGTAGACCCTTTAACTAATTTAAGCTCCATAATTCAGCAACCACTAATTTGATCTGCTGGGGATAGCTGGGAAAGTTGGTGCACAGGCAGTACCTAAAATTTTTCGTTAGCACTGTAACATTTTCTCAAACTATCTTGGTAGTGTGGTTAGACATGGCATCCCAAAACAAGGACCTCTGCAGAAAAGACAACATTTGTCTAGAAATTATTTATCGGCCTGCAAAGGCAATATTTATGATAGCAATAAATATCAGTGTCCTCCTTAATAATGTCTTAAGCTGATTTCCCAGCAAAATATTGTTTGAAATCTTACAGCGATTTTTTTTTATTTGTTTGTGTGTATTTGATGGTACTTAATGATGCCAATATTGCTTTCTGAGAAGCTACACATATTACCCAAAAGAAAATGAGATTCAACTGCTATGCAGTCCTCAGGCCAAATGGAATACCATAATTCCCCCCCCCCAACTAATGTCAATAAGGCATGATTAGATAACCACACTGGCACACATTTCCCTTTTCAGATCAATTTCTGAACATATGAAGCAGGGCTCAAAATGAACATAATTTAGACTACATTACTCTTACTTTAATCTATAAGCCTTCTTAAATAAGAAATCAATAATAGAAATAATTAACAAAGCTGAGCAGCACATTTTAGTTACACTAAGTTAATGAATATAATATGCATTGACATTTATGTTGCTTTCAGTTGCATAATGATAGAATAGTTATGATCTAGCTTTTTGTCATAAGATTATCGTTTCATTGCTTTCTAGCAGTATTAGTTCCAGCCCATTATGACAACATTTCACTCCACAAGAACTGGCATTAGAATCTGTTTTTTCACAATTATTTTCTTTACTTCAGTTATTTATGCCATTCCTTCTATGCCTACATGATTTCTCAAAGCCTGTCCTCTGAATTTCATACATACTGTCCATCGGACCTTAATATGGTTCTCATCTGCATGCAGATTGCATTATTATGCCTGAAATTGTATATGAGAACTAACAATGCAACATTCTTTTATATCTTCCTATTATGTTTTGTATAATATCAGTACAAAGAATCAGTACAGTATAAAATAATTAATACAGCATTTTTTTGAATCAAAATAATATACTACTCACATGTAAATTATTCTTAAATACTTACAAATACTGTAAATACCTCATTATTTTGCATATAAAATTCCTCCATACAGACAAAAAGTAAGTTATCTGAGCTTAATTAATCATAAACAAAACTGCATTTATTTCTTATATTATGCATCCAGTAATGCAAAAATGTCACATTCCTACTTAAGTAATGCAACATATTTTAAAAATCACAAATTTAACAAAAATTATTTCCCATGAATGAATGATTTGATTCTGCTTCATACAAACTGATCTAATATCTTTGAAAAATTCTTTATTACATGTGACGAATAACATTTCAATATACACTAAAGAGCCCAAAAAAACTGGTACACCTGCATAATCTCGTGTAGGGCCCCAGCAAGCAATCAGAAGTGCTGTAACATGACGTGGCATGGATTTGACTAATGTCAAAAGTGTACAGGATCATCCACAAATCCACAGAAGTGTGAAGTGGTGGTGATCTCTTCTGAACAGCAAGGCATCCCAGATATGCTCAACAATGTTCATGTCTGGGGATCTAGGTGGCCAATGAATGTGTCTAAAGTCAGAAGAGTCTTCCTGGAGCCACTCGGTAGCACCTCTTGATGTGTGGGGCATTGCATTGTCCTACTGGAAATGTCCAAGCCAGAATGCACAATGGCCGTGAATGGGTATAGACGATCAGAAAGGATACTAACATATCTGTCACCTAGCAGAGTCATATCAAGGATCCCATGTCATGTCAAATGCACATGACCCATATCAAAACAGAGCCTCCATCAGCTTCAAAAGTGCCCTGTCGACATGTACGATGCATGGATTTGTGAGGTTGTCTCCATACCATCCATCTGCCTAATATAATTGGACGAAACTGGTCAGACCAGGCAACATGTTTTCAGTCATCAACAGTCCAATGGCAGTGTTAGCAGGCCCAGAAGAGGCATAAAGCTTTGTGTCGTGCAATCAACAATGGCACACGAGTGGGCCTTCGGCTTCCAAAACCCATATCAATGATGGTCCGTTGAATAGTTAGCTTGCTATACCATCCATCTGCCTAATATAATTGGACGAAACTGGTCAGACCAGGCAACATGTTTCAGTCATCAACAGTCCAATGGCAGTGTTAGCAGGCCCAGAAGAGGCATAAAGCTTTGTGTCGTGCAATCAACAATGGCACACGAGTGGGCCTTCGGCTTCCAAAACCCATATCAATGATGGTCCGTTGAATAGTTAGCTTGCTATCACCTGTTGATGCCCCAGAACCGAAATCCACAGCAATTGGAGGAAAGGCTGCACGTCTATCGCGTTTAATGATTCTCATCAGTCATCGTTAGTCCCATTCTTTCACAAGCTTTTTCTGGCAGCAGTAACGTGAGGGGTTTGTGGTTTTACTGGATCTCCGATATTCACGATACACTAGTGAAATGGTTGTATGCAAAAATCTAAATTTTATCACTACCTCGAAGATGCTATGCCCCATCTCTCATGCACACCATGTTCAAACTCACTTAATTCTTGATAACCTGCCATTGTAGAAGCAGTCACTGATCTAACAACTTTGTCAGACACTTGTTGTCTTATATACGTGTTGCCAACTGCTGCACTTTACTACGATTGACTCTGTACCACTGTCATTTGCATACATACACCTATACCAGTTTTTTTTTTTTTTTTTTGGCTCCTCAGAGTAAAACTTCAGAAAATTTAATTTTAAGTTTCATTTTCACAAATCTTAGTCTTGCCTTTCAACTCAGATTTCCTCATGATAATTGAAGTTACACTAGATATATTATACCCTCGTAAACATTTAAAAAAAATAAATGTTCTTGGAATGGAAAGAAAAGCAGGAAAGCAACAAATCCTTAAGAAGTTAAGAGGCCTAGCAATTTTTTTCAGAAATGGCAAATACAATGGCTGAATAAAAACACAAAGGACAACACATTGTTAGCTCAGAAAAAATTTTATAACATTAGGCTCAAATAATTACAGTCTCTCAATATAATCACTTTCCATGTCTATCATCTTCTGCTAAATTACTAAAAGACGTACACCATCAAGCATGCCCGTTTCTGTTGATGTCCTTCAGAGACTGCCCTAAAGCAGAGATAATCTCTTCTCTACTTTTGTAATGGATTCCTTTTAGTTTTTTTTTTTTTTTTTTTTTTTTTTTTGTGTGTGTGTGTGTGTGTGTGTGTCATAGTTGCATAAATTCATATTGGGTAATTATGGCTAATGCCCCCAATATACAGGTTGGTATGGCAGACGTCCTAGTACCTCATGTCACCATTTGTCACAGATGTGTGACAATGACGTCACAGATGTGTATTATTATACTGTGAATTGTCTTGGAGGATGATAAAAATTTACCACTTGCGACATCATCTGCATTCAGCAGAGAGCAACAACACTTGTTGGGGTGAATTACATTAGACTCCAATGTACTATAATGTGATGATGATATTTTTGTCAAAATGAAAGAACCACTGCAATACTTAAGAGATTATTCTTGCCTTACATTAGTCACTGTTGGACATCAATACAAGTGGATATATTGAGGAGTATGATATCTTCCAGTAAGTTGGCAGAAGGTAATAAATAAACATAATAAGTGTTTATACTAAGACAAAGTAAATTTTTGTGCTTATGGTAATAAAATCCTTTCCAATGTGCTGTCACTACTTTCTATTTTAATATTATTTACATTTGAAGTTGCTCAGTTCAGAAAGTTTTAAAGAAAAATTTAATTGTCTCATTTTGGAATCTTTGAAACCAGTTGGAGACTTTCCTGTAGAGGTTCCCAAGGAATTTTGCTGTACATATTGCCAGAAAAGCAGTTTCGTCAGCATTGTAAATTAGTTCTGGAAATACCTTTTCACTATTAATGAGTTCAATGAATTCATCTGCAAATAGTTCAGCAGTTTCAGTATTAGCTAAAGCTATTTCACCTGAAATTTTTAATTGTCGTATACCATGGCAATTTTTAAATATGGTTAATCAATCTGTCGAATATGTGAACTCACTGTTTCAGATAATTTCTTCACGAAATATTCTGGCTTAAGCCTAGCATTGGACCTGACAATGGCACGCCTTCACTGCGGTGTGGCCTGACCCATTCAATCATCACTTTGTCATGATTGTCACTTTTAGCATAGTGAATAATTTTTTCCATTATTCATTGCTAATGAGGTGTCAGAATCGACAAAATCTTCAAAATGTTCCTTTTTCTGTTATGTCATACACAGTTCACTTTCTAGTGCCATAATCCTTACATAATTTTGAGATGGATATACCTATATTCATTTTTTGCAACAATTCCATCTTTTGTTTAACTCTTTCGCATTGAGAGAGGACCTAATCTCTTTTACTCAAACATTGAAAAAGCCCGTGTAAACGAATTTCTGTTGGAATGCTTTTCCTTCCCTCATGACAAATTGAATACTACAGCACTAACAATAACCTACTTAAGTAAAGCAACAACTTCTTTCTTGGACGTTTTCACCGTGTGTGAAATTTCCTCTTGGGACGGAATTGCAACTTCGGGCATCAATAGCTAAACATTGACAGTAAACAAAGGACTCAAAAAGGAGAAAATAACATTGAAATAACAGAACTACTTTTAGTTGCTTGAAAAGAATGATTGACATGTCATTTAACAACTCCTGAAAGCAATGAGCAATGCAGTAATGTCATGGGCGAAAGCACTACGTAGAAATTATTCAGGAGGTTGGGCGACTTGCCGTTGTCTGAATGCTCGGCGTTTGGGGTGACTTAGAGTTAATTGACATAAACATGCTTTTGCTTTATATATCCTGTTTAGTTCTTTGTAGATCCCTATACTCTTTTCGAACTTTAGTTTTCATGAAATTGCTGTAATAATAACAGCCTGCAAAAAATAATATGCTGGATCAAATCAGAAAGTTAAGGAATAGTGCAATCTGCTACATTAACTGAAATTCCTTGGAATCAGTAAAGTAAAATTTTAGCCTAGCTTAATAGTGTCCACTACACATTATTGCTTAATATCATGACATTGATGACAAAAGAGTTCTGTCAAATCTTGTCTTGCTTCTGTTGTGTACTGAGACAATCAAGCCTGAATTGTATTAATTTAGTTATTGATTAAATTTCTATTTCTTGCACATGCTTAAGGCTTATATGAGTCCTGAATAAAAAAATTCCCACATATATTTAAGGGTTATCAAGGGCCAGGGCTAGAATAACTTACCGCCTGATGCACTGTCTGCGATTCCTAAATTCTGCTACCAAGCAACTCCCGAAGCTTCTAAATTTTTGCCGCCCCTAAATTTTGGATCCCAGAGCTTTCTTTAAATTCCAGATATCCTTTTATCCCTTAATTTTGTTGCTCGGTGCTTCTCTAAATTCCAACAATCTTTGTCTTCCATATATTCTGCCTCCAGGTGCGGCCATACAATCTCTGGTGCCGGCTCTGAGTTTATGTGTTAAACAATAGCACTACATGTAATCTTTTGGCCTATGAGCATCATTAACAAAATCTATTTTTAGCATATGGAAAGACATTTTTGTTAAATTTTTCCTTGTCAACATTTAGCGCAATTAACTTAAATCTGTAATCATCGCCAAGCGTAAATGTCAACATGAAAGGTTTCCATACTCCTTGTTATTCAATTACTAATATAAAAATATTGTTTAGGCATCGTTGCATGAGTCATTACTCAAGTTGTCATGTCTTGATAAACATACGGTTATGAAAGTAAAATATAATAAATAATAATTTGCCAGGTTGGCATCAGAGATATAAAAGTTTTAAAATCAACAATGTTTTTACGTAGAATGTTTCTGTTTGAGATGTATGCCAAGTAGATACACATATACGGAGCCAAATTATTGATCACACAAATTTATGCTAAAATGATTGTTTCTTCAATAACAAGGTATTTTATTTAGTGCCGAAGTGAAATTGAGAATCGGGACTCTCTACATGTTTTATTATGGGGGGGATGCACATGCATAAAGCATACAAAAAAAAACGAGGGGGGGTGTTGGTGGATTTGAGGTTCAGATTTTAGATCAATCCAGATCTCGGACTTTGTACTGTATAATGTTTTTGCAAAATTAAAGCTGTACATCCTAAAAAATCCTCACTTCAGAAATGTCATATTGCCATATTAAATACTGAGTGAAAATTTGAAAAATATCAATAGCTATTGCTGCAACTCTGTGCACGGTATGAAACTGAAAAGAGCAATATGCAAATAAGAATCTATGGGAAAAGTAATCATTTTAGTAAAGTAGACTATTAATATTCTATTCTAGCAGTTTACTTCCTGGAGGGGGCAGAAATTTCATTTGAAAGGAAGTTCTTAAAAACAGGCACTTCAGGAGTTTGAAAGGAATAAATTTTGAGGTGGACAAATGTTACAAAGTTAATTTCTTTTAGAATGTTTAAAAAAATAATAAAAATTACCAGAAAATTGATTACAATTATGCACTTCAACATAAACTGATTTCTCATTTCCTGAGCTCAAAGTTACAATACTTTCTATCAAATATTAGGGCCTCCCATCTACCTGCAATGTTCATTGGAAGTTTCACATATGCATGCATACAATGCATTCATTTTAAACAGAGATACAAGATGTTGCTCTCAGATTGTTAGAAAAACTGTTGAATTCTGTACAACACACTCACTTAAAATATACATAAAGAATCTAAATTCCGATAATTAACAAATAAGTTTAAAGTTTCAATTATTTTTATAAATCCAAACTTATGTTCGTTGCATGAATAGGTTCCAACCATTTAGATGACATTTAAGTTGATAACAAGACTAGCCTTAATTATATGGTAAGTACGTTTGATTTAAGAACAAGAGCATATAAATTAGCAATTATTTCATTATGACCTAAATAAAAATTTAACCTTTTCTTTAGAAAAGTTTCATTATTAAAATAACATAAATTAACACAGTAACAAAGGAATAAAAGAAGCACACATTTTACCCCAAAAGTAAAACAGTTATTCAAAAGGAGAATCTCTAATATTTATGAATTGGTAGTTCAAAGTTTTCCCTCTATTCACAGTTTAGTCATGGAGCCTGACCATTCAAGCAAGCATTCATTTCTGAGCTATTACTCAAGCTATTGGTATGAGGAAACAAACTCCTGTAATCAAAACTCCAATGACTGAAACTTGTGTGCAACAATGATTTAATATGGCAAAATTTCATCATTAAAGTAGATTTTACTAAGATTTTCTCAATAAAATTCACTAAGCAACAGAAAAATATAAGAAATTATGCAATTCTAAGCAACTCACATGATTTTTCTTTAAATGTGTGGTGACAAAATTATTTTTTGTATGCAAATTACATCTTTACAAATTTTTAATTCTTTCTCATAAAATATAACTGATGCATTATTAACACATTTCATCCTGTCGGTATTCAATCATCTTAGCACATAGTTTACACTTATATGAAACAACATTCTCGATTTCAATCAATCAACACAACCCAAAAAAAAAAAAAAAATGCATATTACAGATAATGAAAAAATGAAATCACTTTAAGATTTAAAATGCATACACTAAAGTATGAAATTCTTAGTAACTACATTTAATAGTGAATCTAATATTGGCTGAATAGAGCAAAAAATGGATTTTAAATAGCATAAAGTTACAGTATTTATTTCAAATATAAACACCAGTATAAAATCACTCAAAAACAAAATTTTAGACAGACTACATAAAAATTCAAAAACTGATAGTTATTATTATAGATGATGAATCATGTATTTTGTTTGCTTTATTTTCAGGGATACTATCAAAGTCAAAACTATTAATTACTTAAGATAAACCAAGAAAACAGCAGATAAATAAATAAAAAATATAAATGTGGTCTGAGATAATCGGATGTATCATGAAAAGTACTCACCCAACATCAGACAGTACTTTTCAGCTGCCTGAATGATGTGAACCCTACACTGAAAACACCTGGCTTGATTTTCTGAGATGGTCACCCTCTTATATTACAAGTAGAATAGCAAGATGGAAAAATACAGATGCTATTATGAATAATATGGATTCTATATGAATAATTACATATTAGATCGAACAAAGAAAATACTCGCATGTTACATGACGTATGTGCCACATTACTCCCAGAAAAATACTGCAACACAATTTACAACATAAATCATTCAAACATAAATACTGTTGTTATACACATAATATTTTAATAATGAGGTATAACAGTCACATAAATAAAAATAACACTGAAAATAAATTGGTGGAGAAAAATTTCCCAGTTCAAAATGATTTGGCTAAATTCTTTTTTTTTTTTTTTTTTTTTTTTTTTTTTTTACTGTTATGCTATTTCTCAGTGAGAAGCACATACACTAGCTATCTTAAACGCTTCAAATTTTCAGATGGCTTCTGAAGTACGCATTTATATTTATTCTCTATTTTTCAAAATTCGGTGTCTCTTTATTTTCAAATAAATAACACTGCGAGGCAATTTTTGGTTATCAAAATTAATAAAAATTCAGTATTAAAATTTCCTATTAGGTATTTTGCTTATGCTCCAATTGTTTACATCAGGTTCATAAAGTTTTTAACCTTTAAAAGGGAAATTAGTTTCAATAATATTTACTTAAAAGTTCAGCTGCAACACCATACATTAAATTATGTCCATTTTATGAGGACATGAAATAATATTTTTGACGTACTCATTATTATTTATAATTCTAATACCAATCAAGTATGCATATTCTTGCATTCATGAAAACACATCTAATTACTTCATCCTTTCATAAAGTCACCCAACTCTGTTCTTTTTCATTATGGCAGTGCTAGATAAGCATATTACACTACAAAGTCTGTAATCCGGACGTTTATTATCCGGAATGGTCTATAATCCGGACCTCAAAGCCACAAACGTTTTTTTTTTTTTTTTTGGTAAGCTTTACACGTGTGCATTTAATGTATAACAGATGGTATAAGCTAGGCTAAAATTATCTTTACTATTCCAGTTAATTGCAGATTGCACTGTTCCTTAATCTTCTAATTGGATCCGCTTTATTTTTGCGACTGTGAGATCTATAATAGCTGATTGATAGTCAAAAATTCCAATGAGTGCAAGATCAAAGCAAAGTTCGATGTCCTTGAAGGCAACAGAGAGATAGTGAAGAAAGTGACAGAGAGGTTATTGAAAACGAAAAAATTTCAATTGACAAGTCAGTCGGTATTCTCGACACAGCATTTACAGGACTTGAACAGTGGAACTTTGTAACTGAACAAGAAATTATGTCTGTTTATAGAAAGATATATAGTTTATAGAAAGTATTAGCAAAAAAAAAAAAAAAAAAAAAGCAACTTAATATGAAAGAAATGTTTAATAAAGTAAACAAATAAATATTATTATTATTATTTTTTTTTTTGTAAATTTTGATACCCTTTAGATCATAATTGCTCTTTATTTCATAAATTACGATTTCATATTTTTAATTGTATAATTTCTTCATGCTATCTTACCAGATTTAAATTGATGATCTATAATCCGGAAAAACCCTTAATCCGAAATCACCGAAGTCCCAGTCCGGATTACGGACTTTTACATAGTATATATATAAAATAAGGATTAATTCTGTCTGAAATGAGTAATCAAACTTTCCTTGCCCATTCTGAAAAAAGTAGAAGTATACATCAAATTCAAATCAGTGAGAGTTTAAACTTACAATTTTTACATTCTTAGTCACAGCTATAATAATAATAACAACAAAATACTGAAAAATAAAGCAATCCATTCCAAACGGGGCAATGTCTAGAGATTTTCGAGCTTTATGCATATAAATGGAAGTTTGTCCTCTTCTAATACACTGTGCTCATAAAAGATGGTTACAGGCTTAGTTTTCTTAATTACTGATGCTAGATATTTATTTCACTAACTTTACTTATTTATGCAAACAATTTCAGCACTTGATGACAGAAAGAATTGAAAACACACAAAATTTAACTGATCACATAGGTTAAATCCTAATTAGAAAAATATTTACAATATTTTAATAAATCAAATGCCGAAACAATTTGATACATTTCTGAGCAAAATTCATGAAGATACTAATTTAAGTCATTTTAATCCATATTTTGGCATGAATTAAAATATTTTCCTAAACTTAGGGAAAGAAATGTTATAGCTGGCACTAAGAAAATATTAGTTACGAATATTTACAAATTTTGCAAAGCTACAGAACTTTTTTCACTTAATTTATTGCTGTATAGCAAGCACTTTTCTAATTTAGTTTCCTGCCCTGCAGGACCATACAAAAATTTTAAATTCTGTATTTAAAAATCATTCTACTCCAGCACTGAAAAGGATCTCATTAAATAGTTAAGAGGACAAGATGTGTAGTCACCTTTCATGAACAAACTCTATAAACAAGAATGAGGGTGACGTTTATTGAAAATATCACAATTTTTGAAGTTGTGATATTTTATATTATTGGTCTGATATAAACAGCTCTAACATAAAAATAAAAATTAAATTTTATAATTTTTTTAAAGAAACTGAAAGTTTTATTTCCTAATTTTGACGTTGGCAAAATCATTAACCCTCTTGCCGCGTACTTTTTTTTATCAAAATAGGTTCAAAAATTGCATATTTTTTATTACATATTTCAAATCTACATATATTTTAGAGTTAGAAAAAATTTTTGTTAAAGAGGTTTTTTTTTTTTTTTTTTTTTTTTTTTTTTTTTCAATATAATAAATTAGATCATAGAAAAAGGTTGTCAGAATACTGAAATTGGAGAATAATGATATAAAAGGAAAATTCTGAAAATTAATATTGGTTAAATTATGATTTATTTATAAAATACAAAGGTATTTTGCATATCAATTTTGCACCACTGTCGAACGTTTTCAATAGGAACTCAATTTTCAGATTCATCACTATCTGCAGAGGAATCCAAGAAATTTTCATCAGTTTCGCTTTAACTATCTTCAATATATTTCAAATCAGAGTCAGAACTACTATCAGTGTCAGAAATATCATCAGGAATATAGGTTATATCACTCGCAAAACGCTTCCTGCTAGACATCTTTAAGCTCAGCTACATTACGTATTCTTGTATATTTGGTAGAAATGTGGACAACTAACGCCATCTGTTAGCCCACATCTAAATAAACAATCAAACATCAAAGAAAAGCTGAAGGGAAAGCTTGAACAGAGAAAAAGCAGGTTGCACAGTTAAATAGACGGCAAAAATTCATCCCCGTGGAAATCAAGGGTTGTGCAAATTTTGCTACTTCTAAGTTGCCTGTGGAAATCACAGGATGCGCAGCAAGAGGGTTAATACTACTTCCATGACAAAGATTTTAGGATATGCTTCTCTATGCTATACTGCTAGCGTATTAACCTTTTTCTATAATATTGTGAAAATAATTTTTACTATTTTCAGCACAAAAGAGTTTTATCCTTCAGAATTACTCACTGGTAATGTTTAAGAAATATCTTTAAATTATTCCAGCATTAGGAAATAAGGGTATTATTAATTTAATTAAAAATTTCATTTTTCAGAAGCAAGGATTTTTTTTTATAAAATTCCATTTACAATTCTTCAACATATACACCTTTACCGTAGATTCTATCAAGATATATTTTAAAGAGCTTAAATACTTCTCTGCTATAACATTAGATATATTAAAACTGATTTCTTTATGCCTGCACTTCTGTACTACACAAGGATTTCTCTCTAAACAATAGCAAAAAAATCTTAATTGATTTCACATCTATATGAAACAATCAAATTAGTTGCCAGGTGATCAGTTGCCTCAGTAGAGAATTCAATAACCAAAAGTTACTTGCAACACTTTAAAGAACCTTGAAGGTCAATAAAAAACAGAATTTGTTAAAGGCAGTGTAATTGTTGAGTTTGAAAGAAGTATAACCGTTGAGCACAAAATGAAGGTGATAATTTTTGTTCTATGCTCAACTACTATAAAATTATTTTTAGCTTTCTCACCAGTTACTTACACAGTGCAAAAGTAACACTAAAACAACAACTTGTCAAAATCATGGGTTTAAACTAAGTGTTAATTCAATATAAGTAGTTCTCGTGTCAAAATTTTGACTTTATCATATACCTGTCTTTTATGCACATTTAATTAGTGCTGACATATTTAATATCTCATAATTAGAAATAAACTAATGTACATTAAATTTTACCCCAAATTGGCCATTTGACAGGTAGGATTTTGTACTTTTCAAGAAAGTAAACAGTTTTAAATCAAAAAGCTAAAAACAGAGCAATAATCCAACTGAATTATTTTCCAACTGAATTATTATCCAACTGAAAATTTTCAATAATGAACAAAACAAACATGATATAATTAAATCCAGTTAAGAAAAATATTATTATACTCAATTTTACTTCAGGTGCTGCAGTGTTTTTCCAGTTACATATTGTGGCTACAATGCACTAACTGAGAAGTATGTCTGAGATGTAGGTTTAGTTTTATCAGAAACAATTATTTCTGAGCTTATGAGCTCTACATGCAATAAAGCATTAAAGCTAAGCGATATAATTTACTCACACTAAATCCAACATCAATCTGAAATTTGTTCATGAATGTTTAAAAATCTCAAATTTTTAAAAGGTGAAAAATCTCACCTGTGTGCTGCCGAAGATTGAACATTAACATCACTGGCTAGATAAAAAAAAAAAAGAAAAAAGAAAAGAATGTTATAATGTAATTTAACAATATTTAGTTAACTAAGTTACTTGCAATATTAGTACTCTCTTAAATTTTTACAGATAACAACTACTCGATGCCAGATTTATTTGTTTATAGAGTGCTTGCTTTAAAACTACTGTATGTAACACATGTAAGATGAGACGTTTAATGATGCACTTTAATATACTCGCCAAAATATAAGCCTACTCTCAATTTATTTATACATTCTAAATGCATAACCAACTAAATTTTAGAGAAAATATTTAGGGAAAGGGAATGCTTCAAACAGTAATTTCATACAACTACTATCATTTTTAATAAAGAACTGTTTGCAATCAGCTACTAGAGCTTACCTTATGATCTCCCATTGAAACATTCTCACCAACTAGTTGATAAACAATAGGTAAATATGCACTATCTAATGGAGTCTAGGGAAAAAACAGAAAAGCAAACTGCTTTAAATCTGAAACAGGAAAAATAATAATATGCACATTCCAAAATCATGCGCTAATTTTTTTTCATTATGATACGTTAAGCTAAGTTTGACATTGTGTAGATATATAACTTTAGCATGTAAATTTCACTTCATGAAAACGAGATGAATGAAGAGATATTATCCATTTAGAACATTTGCAATTATTACTAATTTACAATGATAATGATGATACAAGAGGCACTAAATTTTTCAAAATAATATTATATATTTTATTAAGACTGAATGATGAATAAGAGACCAGCTTTTTCAATCAAAATATTTTTCATTTTACCCCTTAAAAGAGCTTATATATTAAAAATAAATACTACTACTGCAATTAGCATCAGGGAATAATTTTTCTTCACTCAGATCAATATCACAATTTTTTAGCTTTTACTGAAACTACAAGAAAGAAAAATTAAATAGAAAGCTGGCTGCCAAAGGTCAACTAATTGAACTTTAAAAAATGAATATGACAAAATATTCAACCTTACAAAAATTACCACAGAAACTCAATATCCCACTACAAGCAGTAAAAAAAAAGCTATTGAATGCTATTCCAAATATCTAAAAATATGTATATATAAATTACTTAAATAAATCTACTACTCCAAAGACCAAGAGGAAAAATAATCATTAAAATACATTAAAAAATATATAAATGAAAACAAAAATAAAACCGATATATTTACGCAGAGATAATTAATTTAAACTGAATCAAAAAAGGAAGAGAACTTGGTACAAATATTTTTGAAGATAAGCCAAATTTTGGTATAAATCTTGTCTTTGAATGGTCTTTTGTTAATTTAGAGAGAATTTTTTGGAGCACCTTGCAGAATACAGAAAAATGTTTTGGATTTCATTAAATTTGACTCACTGAAATGCAGGTCTGGCCTCTTGGTATAACATTTGTACCCAAATTAGGATTAAGATTTGTACCCCTATTTAAATATTACATTTTCAAAAATCTCTATACCAAGTTGCCTTCATTTTTTGCTACAACTTAGACTACCTTTGTGTAAATATACTGGTTTCCTAGTTATTTCACTTATATATTTTTTCCTAGTATTTAATGATTACCATTTTCCTTGGTCTCTGAACAAACAGATTTATTTATGTAATTTATATAACTGAAGCTGCTGAAGTGCCTAATTACATGGTTTTAGAATGTCCTAAAAATTTTTCTACTTTAAAATTTATTTTTCATTTAAATTTCCACTCTGATAGCTGATTTCTATTATTAATAATGCTAACTCTCTTCAAACTTTAAAAGTAGCTTCAAACAGCTACTTTTACTAGTGAAGATTTAAGGTTTTTCTATTTTTTTCCCTTTTCCCACTTACTTTACTGCAACAAGATATTTTTATTTATATGCCATATTTGCTTTATATATCATCCATCCCTATCTCAATTTTAGCATACACATATTTTGCTCACATCCCATTTATTAAAAGCTTCTCTCTGATTCACTATTTGTTTATAAACATTCCTTCTGTCTCCCCTCTTTCCAGTGTGCTAAGCAGACAAAAATTTTAAACTCTGCATACATTTGGAAATACCCTATTACTCCATCTTTGCCTTGTGCGTCCAATTCAACTAGGGCATCGATGTCATCAATAGTGGTAAATAAAGTTTTGTTTTTGTCAATTGACTTTAGCATAATTAGCTGCATTTTTACTTGTCCTATTTTACTTTATTTCTTCATAGTATTCACATGCTTTGTCATCTTTTTCATCCATTTTTAGCATTTTCCAACTTCATTTCCAGAGTTTAATAATACTCCACATTTTGAAGTCTTTCAATCTTTTTTAGTTATATGAGTTGAACAAATAAAGTATTTATTTGGTTTTTTTTTTTTTTTTTAATTGTACTTGTCATGCTTTGTCATTTTTTTCCTCATTTGCTTACATTTTTCAACAAGTTCTGGAGTTTACAGATACTTTTCATTTTGAAGAATGTGTTTTATATTTTTCTTTTTGTATTTTTTGACTGTTCAGATCAGTGTTAGGGATGATACAATGCAATTATTTTGAATTAATCAGTTTTGCTTTTCAGCTTAAAAATTGCATAGTATCAGATATGTTGCTCTTTCCTATCAATTTAGTGGAACAGGCAACTGAATTATTTTTGTCCATTCCCCTCATGAGAGGAAAAAAGGTTCATTCTAACTCTAACAACCATTTGGCCTAAACTATTTCACTTTTGCTTTGTTTTCTCACTGCCACTGAACAATTTTACATTTTTGTAATACTTTGGAAGGATTTAATTTTAGTATTTTATAAAATTAATTACAATATATATATATGGAAATTTTGGAAAAGATTTTAGTGATTTCCAATGAAAATGTCAAAAAAATTAAACATCTCCAAAATTTTCTGAAATATAAAATATTTACACTGTTTTTTTCCCCAAAATGTACATTTTATATATTTTTTTAAATATTAATTACTCTGAACATTTTCATTGACCTATAACTGAATACTTCAGTTTCAGAAGACATCCTAAAGAACAACTATCAATCATTATAGATGACTATTAATTATGTAGCTTTTGGAAGCTGAAATTGCAGTACATAACATATGCTTAAGTTCATTTATCCTCACTTTAACAAAAGTGAATTTTTCCCAGACAAAATTGTTACAGTTATTTAAGACTCAAAATGCTAACAAACAGTCAAGTAACACTATATTAAATGTATCATATACTATACCTCAATGGTTAATTAAAAGGTTAATAATTTCTGGCTGAGAACTTCTTGAAAAATAAAATTTTTTAAGTACAGCTACTGTAAACTTGGTAACAAGAATTCAAGAAAAATCTCTGAACAACTGGAAATCAATGCATACTCCTTAGGGAACATTACACATAACACTGTATAACAAGGCATGAGTATATTAGTATTTAACCCTTCAGTTGTTGTGAGATTAAGAAATTCTTTTTTCCCAAATATGTGCGATATCTATCAGTTATAAATACGCAATCCAAACTCGTTCGTTTGTGCCCACTGCAGTGAATAACAGGAATAGGAGCTCAGCTTGTTTGTGACCATCAAAGGGTTAACAGCATGAAGTATTACTATTTAAAGAAATTACATATCTTCTTGTAATCAATTGATTAACATAAGCTAAACAATCAAAATAGTTGAATTCTTCATATGCAATAACTAATAAAGATTTGTTTTTTTATCTGAATATCACAAAGTACAAGACGACTAATATCGACATAATGGAAGGAATACTTACATGGAGTGATTTTTAAGGAAAAACTAGATTTTATTTACATTGTAAATGGTGAAAACTCACAAAACATACATGTAGTCAGCACATTCACTGGGACTAGAACCCAGGTCAGATTACTAGAATTCAGTGTGCACTGATGGGCATTAATTAAAAAGGGGTGAAAGTTTGAACATATTTCACATACTGATAATCAATATGTGAAATTTTCAGTTGTAGCTGAATTGGGTTCTTTCTTCAAAGTCCTGAAGTTTTAAAAACTTTACATATTACAGTAAAACAAATTTTTCATTTAACATTTCATCATTTTACTTATTTCTAAATTTCATCTAACAGATACAGAAAAGGTAACTCCTTTTCCCACTTATTTGAATTTGATGCTGTCATAAGACCAGTTTCATTAAACCATATTTTCAAAGGGATCAATTTTGTTGAATGGTTTTCTACATAAAACTGGTTCACCTTTATTACAAAATGAAAATAAAACCTAAATACTAACAAACCCATACTACCAGAAATCCCCCCCTAGGAAAAAAATATCCATTAAGAATGATTTTATGAACTCAATCATCAGTGTAATAAATAATCACCATTGGGGAAAGATATTTTTCATTGAGAACTTTCTACGGGTAAAGCCACATGAGTTGATAATTAATCAATATATCCAAATTGTTAAACACTACTTTCATAAACAGTGATTAAACAACATAAACTCTCCACTCAATTTTCAAGAAAAGCTACTACTCTTCATTTCTTAACTATCCACCAGCCACAGTAATGGTTATTTATTTTATTTATTTTTCTGATGCATATATTTGCATATAGGTCAAGAAAATGAATTTTACCAAACTAATACAAGCATTTAGATGGACAAAAACCATTAAAAAAAGGCCATTATTCCAATATATTCTAATGCAGTAAAAAACAGAAATAAACTACAGCACAGTTTAAAATTAATAGAGTTATCAGAAACAGAAGATTCCAACAATTATTTTAAGCAGCTCACCGTATTTACAATGGATAAAGCACTTTTACTTAACAGAATTCTGTCGCACCATGAAGGGCATCTGGTTCTCATATAACTACTTCCACTGCAAGTGTCTTCCTTGAAAGGATAACTAAAAATGTACAAGTTAATATATTTAATGCTCCCTTTAGAAAAAGATAAGATGAGGTAAAAAGCTAAAAAAAAAAGAAAAAAATTGCTGAAGATAATATACACCGTTCTTAAAAAAAAAAAAAAAAAAAAAAAAAAAAAAATTATAACACAAAAAAATTTCACATTTAAAAATCAATACTGTTTCTGACTTCAAATACAAGCCCTGTATCAATATGCCAAAATCTTATTAAATCTTCTGTATTTAATTAATGCAGCACATTTCATCCAGTCTCTCTGTGGCAATCATATACACAGCTTAATAGTACGATAAATGAAAACTAGCATAGCCCTGAAGCATTAAAACCATATGTGCATTTATTATTTAGTTTCTTTTCTCAATGATATGATACATTTTCAGTAAAGCATACTACAGGAACAAACAATACCTCATTTTATAATAGTGACAATATGTACTAAATGAATTGCAAACAAGTCCCTCTTTTATTAAGTGTTAAAAAAGGAAAGTCTAGTCACAGGTAACAATAAGCAATAAACAATCACTGATGATGCTATTATGATCAGTATTAATTATAATATAATGTTACATTCAGTATCATGAAGTAATGTAAAGTCAAAAATTTCAGCATTTAATATTAAAAGCATACAAAAACCAAAGACCAAGCAGCATAACAAGTGACACTTCAATGCATTATAACAATTCATGTATCATGCTGTAACGTTATATATAAATCATATAGTTAATATATTACATAATAAAGCTAAAGTTTTTTAATGCATAGGTGCAAGGTTAATAAAGTGCAAATCATACTCTCAATCTATTAAATTATACAGTTAATGTAATTTATTGTATGTCTAATGTGTGATTAATATACTATATGCCTATTTGTATTGTATTATATGACTAATGCAATGTATAATAAGATTGGAATTAGATAACTTCATCAACTGAACCATTTAGACTAATATGCACCCATATGAACTGTTAGTGGAATAGCTGAGTGGAATAGCTGTTCAGCCGATGATTAACCCTTTGGGTACATTTGACAAGCGAGACTCATCATCTGCTTACTTGGGCGAAGTTACAGTGGACGAGTCCGATTATAAAATACTGTTTCAAAAATATATTTATATCACCAATATAAGTCTATTCCAAATGAAATGTATTACTTTTTCATATTAATCCACATTGTGACAAATTAAATCTGTCCCATGGGCATAAAAATCTTCAAATAATTCAGTACTCAAAGGGTTAAAAGACAAAAAAATAAACTGGACTCGGAAAACTGATATTTTTACAGGGTTTGATTCTCAGACCTTCTCAGCCTCCTGAAAATAAGAGAGAGTTCTAGATTTAAGGAAAAAATTTTATATTTTACGTGCACACAAAAAATAAGACGGAAACTGATAGAGTCATGAACATTAAAAGAATGTTACAGATATTGCAAACTGCCGATAGATGAAGAATGCAACATATGAAGGACAACCAGTAAATGGATAAAACAGTAGAAAACTTTACACTTGACTTCCTACTGAAACTCCAGGCTTCCCCTAGACATAATATGAGCCACCTGAGTACTAAAAAAGGGGGTTATTTTTAATGTTTTTAACAAAAACAAAGCTTTCATAATAATCACCCCATGCTCAAATATGATCATGTGACTTCAGCTAAATTACAGAGGAAAGCATAAGTAGATATTCTCAAGTTTAACTTTCAAAGCAATGATTTTTTTCTTCCACACACCATATCACCAAGCACAACAAGCCTAGCTGATGCAATGGTCAAGGAAAATCTGCCGATGAATATGATGAACAGAAAATTCTTTTGTAGTATGAACTGTGCAAGTAGTCAATAATTATTTAATTGATACCGTTAGTATTCAATAATTATTTAATTCATAATCAGACATGCTTTTACTTGTTATTGTTTCAAATGAAAAAATTCATTAATAGTGAACCAAAACTTAGCTATGTATGCTCTCTTTTGAATGCGTTGTTGCATAATTAAAATCATCAAGAAAGGAAAATTGCTTGAACACATTAAAAACTACATTAAATAAATCCAAATGTGAAAAAAAAATGTTTGTGAAGGAAAATTATGATGCTAGCAAATAAGCTTCTGAAGCTTTAAGTGAGGACAGCAAATGTTAAGTCATTCTAGGATGAATATAATTCAAACAGTTCTCAAGTAGTAATATCAACTATGGAAATACAAGAGAATATTGAAAACTGTTATTTGTAAGAGAACGCTAAATTTCAACACAAAAGATTTAACCATATAAACACACAAGTGGGCTTATTTTTTTATCTTAGTTATTAAATTATCAATTTTATTTAATAGCAAGAAAGCTGCAGTTTCAGCAAATAAGAAAATTACACAAGGCACGGAAATGAAAAGATGTTGGCTTTGCAGAAAGTAAAGTTTTTAATGCATTTTTATACAAATCAGTTCTTGTTCTTATACAACAAAAAAAGCATTACTGGGAAAAAAAAAAAAAAAAAAAAAAAAAAAAAAACATTTTACAGTGTAATGTCTGACAATCAAATATGAGGAGCTCCGGATAACACAATACTGTCTTCCAGCAAACTAACAGATAGTGAGATAAATATTAAACTGCTTTAATACTGCAAATAAGAGTTTATGATAACACAATACTGTCTTCTGGGCAAACTACAAATAGCGAGATAAATATTAAACCATTTTAATACTTTAAATTTAAAAATAATTTATTTTATACAATGAGTTCTCTCATAAAATATTTTTATCAAAAAATAAGTTTAAATTAAACAGGAAATAATTGATGTTAACTAGATGTTTAAAACAGATCATTATTGATATTGTTAAATGCTCTAATAACAATCCTTTACTATATAACATCCAATTCTTTTAATAGCATTCATATCAAGCATTTGACCACAAAGTGCAACTGAATTTAAGCTTAAAAATTACAGCAGAAATGATTTTTTTTATTTCTTATGAAGTCACACTAGCTAAAGAAAATATACTATAAAAATGTTAGTTTTCAGCAATAAAAATTAAATAATTAAAATAATCAAAATTATATATTGGAATAATTATCAGTTCAAGTATTGTTTAGGAATACCTTGGAGGGAAAGAAATGTCAAACTCAAAGAGGTCCTCTCCAAATACTTTGGGTTCTTTGTCAAACTCCTGAAGCTAAGAATGAAATTTTAATTCATCAACATGAAAAGCAATATAATGCATTACGAAATACAATGCAAGCTGGAAAGATGATGGATTTCAGTGCAATCATACAAATTTTTAAAATTAATTAAATTTTAAAGGACACTCACATATTCACAGACAACAAAATTAGCACCTAAAGCAAGCATGAGACTGAACTGAAATTTTATTGTTACAAAGATAAAAGATACAAATCACAAAAGCAGGACAGAAGACAACTGCAGATGGATCGATCTACACAATGCAGTCTAGTCATATTTAACACATCATCATACACCAAGCCTGTGCTGCTGGTACATGTAGCAATTAGATGTGGCCAACAGTAGGAGAGGCACTTATTGTCTTCTGGTAGGCAAGCCCACATTTGTTGAAGAATGTGCTCCACATCTCAGATACTGCAGCAAGGCAGTAGCAGGTGTTTTAAAAAGATCCGCATATTTTTTTAAAGGAAACATGTCCTGGAACTCAGGCGGGCAATGGAAATATTTAAACAACCTTGTAAGCTGTTCAGGACAATCTCAGCTTCAGTAACAGCATATTATCCAACTTGAACAACTGACCTGGTCCTGGTCAAGAGTATGAGCACATGGGACTAAAGATCTTACCCATATACTGTTGGACCTTAATATTCTAAGTATCACTAATATAGCAGCTCGGCTGCCACATATAGCTTCTAGGCCATAATTACTCACCCTGTGATAAGTGTGTAGCTCAATAGTGAGATGTGGATTGTATCATTAACCAGGGTCCACAATACCAGGATCCAATAATCATCTATCCTCAAAACAAAATGGCACTCCCTGCTAAGTACCAGATATCTACAACTATGACATTCCATATTTCTCTGGATGTCATCACTGCAAAATGAACAGCTGATGATTTACAGCACATAATCTTTCTACTGTGCTCGTACTGGTCCATTTAGAGCCAGTCTACTTCATTATGTGCCCACTATTTCCAACATAAGTGGATTATAGCAAGAACAACTTACAGTGCAGAACGCTGAACATAATATAGTGTATGACTTGAGTAAATCAATCTGGCATTTTTTTCCCTCTGTATTTTTGTCTTGCATCAGCTGGTGCTTCTTACAGTCTTGCAGCATCAACTACATCTGGTTGCATATTCATGCAAGTACATCAACATACGGAGCAAATGTAATGGCACCAAACTCAGATCTTCAAAATATCAACCATATTATAGCCTTTTACATAATTTCATGGTTACAGCATATTTTTCACACTGCATGTAACTTCTATTATCTGTGAGCTTATTTTGCAAAAGATACTCAGATGTTAGATACGGGTAAATAATAGACTGAATGACTTGCTGTGTAAGAAAATTCAAAATGTCATTAATATTATCAATATTATCAGGCTATATTGAGATCCAGTGACATCTTAATATGACACACTTATTAATTGTAATACAAATTTTATTTACAGAAATGGCTGAATTAATATATCTGTATGCAGATAATTAAATTTATGTAAAGCACAAAAGAGTAAAAATAAAGGGGTGAAGAATATTGTTAATTTTTCAAGTAAAATGTAACATTAATTCCCAATCATTATGTGATACATCATAAGAGACTCTTATAAAGGAATCATACCTACACAACTTGCAGTAAATTATAACTAAAGAAATTTACTTTTTGTATCTATTATTAATGAATTTAAAATTACTTTTAAAAAATAAAGATTTTATAAGTTTTCCCCTTCAATAGAAATTTAAATTAAGGCATCATTTTTTTACTAGTTACAATACGTTCAACAGATTAATGAAATACAACAATTTAAATACATGAAAGATTATTTCTAAAATACCTTACCCATTTTTCACTTCTAGCAAAGGTTTCTTCATGCTGATCCAGATCAAAAACCTTCTTCTCTAAAGTAAGGATCACCTACAAAATAGAATCTACTATTAATATTTATTCCTTACATGTACATATATATATATATATATATATGTAATAATAGAAATTAGAGTGGTGCTGATGTAGACAAAGATGGTGCTAATATTAATATGATTTCTGCTTAAACAACAAGCGGCTCAGACTTGAAGAAATGATCTAGATTTAGATATAATTTGCAATATAAGTGGTTTGATTTATTTCATTATGGCAAAGCATTTGAGGGTTATATGTCTAAGGGGAGGGATGCCTTTGTGAAGGACTTTCTGACTTTATACACATTAGACATGGGAAAAACTATGAAAATGGCCATGTAGTCAGCCCGTTTACCAGGATTTGAACCATAGACTGAATTACCAGTGTTCAGCAACATTCCTCCTCGGCTGCTAAAAGCCACTCTTTGTAATATAACAAAATGAAGTAATGCAAGTGTTAAGATGGATTATTTAACAATTTTTTAACATACATTTCATAGAAAATGAAAACCTGCATATATTTTATCTATATGAAAGCAAGCATGACAAGAGCACGATTATGTTAGATTACGAATGGTAAAGTTACTCTACTTAAAAACAGAGAGATATAGCATGACTTATTACTGTTGCTTACTTAAGTTTCAATTTGACCTTTCTCCTTAGGCAAGTACATGTCTCATTTGTATTATATAAGAATCATGTGACAGGAATTAACTTTGAAATGGTGTGCTTCAAAAATATTATGAGAACAGAGAGAGGAATAACAACCTTTAAAGCAAAACAAAAAACAAACAAACAAAAAAGACTACTCAGCACTCTTATGTACAGATATATCAGCTTTCCTTTTCACACATATTTTTCATGCTGTCTATTTATTATTCAATAAAATCTGAATGCATGTCAATTGAGAGCTTTTAACATACAAGCTGTTAGTGAACATTAATTTTGAAATGATGTACTTCCCAAAGATTTATTATAAACATTTTACTATTTTTAGCAGAGAAATGGAAGCTTATTAAGTTAAAAAGGAGAACCTAACTATTATAAACTGATATTATAATTTTATTGTTTACATGTATATGTGCACAAATACTTCAAAACTGAAAAGTGAAATATACTAATGAAGCAACATTTTAATTGCCTAACTAAATAAATGCTAGCTTAAAATATCTAACAAACACATGTTAATTTAGCGTACACAAGGATAAAAATGTTTGAGTCAATTTTATACCAAAAAGTTATAGCTGAATGAGTTTACACATAAGTTATCAAATTTCTGTTCATGGCTGTCAATAATTATGAAATACACCAAGCTAATACTTCTTTGCCTCGAATCTGAGTACAGTCAATATTTTGGCCAAATATTTAGCAAATAGATTTTTTGTCTTCTATTGAACATATCTGTAGTAAACAAATTATATTTCTTGTGTTAATAAACATATTTCCCTATGCCTTCTATGGTTCCTTCTAGTATGAAATTCTCAATTAATGCTAATTGATAATGCAGTTATTCTTCTCGCAAATTACACATAATTCATCTCCCTCTGAATAAAGTTGTTGCATATAAGCTTTAATGCAAATAGCCATAATAAATTAACCCAAACCAGTGAGTCACTGTCACATTTTCTCTCTCTACCTGCAAATATGTACGAGACTAGTTTGGATTAATTAATTACAGTAAATCACACAAGAGTTATCAGAGTCTGAGGTGTAACAAATTTACAGAGGACATTCCTAGGGGAGCTCTCTCACATTTATTTTACATACATAAAAACACCCTTTGGCAATCACGTAAAAAACTATATTTTCCTCCTGGTAATAATTAAAAATTTTTTCATATGGTATATGATAAAAGTAAAGTTAAGATGCTTGCCTATCAAAGAAAACATTTAAGATAGCAACAAGTTTATTTTCATAATGAAAGGGAAAAACTGTTCCTGATCAGAATTTTCTTTAAATTCTAAAGACAACATTTTAAGTCAAAATACACAAAGTAATACATATAAGATGTACAGCATTTATTTCATAATAATTTGCACTGTTCAGCAGCAAAGTCCTCCTTAAAAAACAGAGGTATCCTGCATAATTTTCACCTATTTTAATTTCAAACTAACCTTAAAAAAGTCTGGATTGCTCATTGTTTTTGAGAAAGAAATGATTTGTTTTCTATAGAGAAAGCAGTTTTTAAGCAGAAAAGGCACTAACGTGAAGCAAACTGTGTATCTGTTGAATACGAATACTGTTGCATTGCTTTAAATTTATCTTTTACAGAATGGCAATGAAAATATTGTTTACTTTAAATATGAATCTCTTAATTCTGAGGATAAATTTGATCATTTATTTCAATGCATGAAACCGAACTCGCCAGCTTATTAGAAGATTTTGCTCTCTAAAGAGAATTATGGAAAAGCTATTGAGCTTTTTAAATCTTATTTGGCAAGGAAGAGTTTTTAATTGAATATTACATATGTGAACTCAAGTGTATCCGAGTTAAAATGACACGGCAAATAGCTATTATTGCAGGAGTTAAAGCAATAAGAATTAGCACAATATTTATAAATTCACAGGACTAGTTTTGAAGGTTTAATATAGAAACTCCTTCTTCAACTGCAGAAGTGCAAATGATGAAGGAAAAGCAGTAATAAGATTAGGCAATAAGAATGATAAGAAGGATGTCAAGCTGCTGGCACCCTCTACTGATGATGAAAAAATGAAAACAGCTGTCAAATAATTTCATTAGAAACTGAGGGTAAAGACGGATTGGAACTGGGATTGCTAACTAGAACTGAAAGATTTATATCAAAGTGAAATGCCTTTAGAAAATCTAATTTAAATAATCTTAAATAAAATTATTAATAATTAATCTTAAAATAATTTAATAACTTAAAATTTTAGAATATTGCACATGTTTATGGAGCTCAGTAATAATCATATCAATACATAATATAGTATAGAATACTGTTATTTATGCTGCATTGTTATGAAGAATATTTTATGTAAAGAAGCTGTAAGAAAATTGAAGCACATATGCTTCAATTCAAGGACTAGGAAGGAAGAGGGTACTGAAGGATGATTGCTACATGGGGGGCTGGTTGAGCAAAGCACTCAAGAGCTATCTGCCCAAGATAGAAGAGATGCTTTCTTCCCTTTGTGGAGGGCTTTTTATGGAACACTGGTTCATATACACATTATACATGGGAAAAACTACAAAAACATCCATGCAGCCATGCCCCATGTTCAACGGAATTTGAACTCAAGACCAATTTACCAGTGTTCAGCACTACTTGGCTGCTAGTGGGCCCCTACACTGGGGGAAGAGGAAGTTGGAATCATGTGTCACCAGTCTTTCACTAATCGAGCATGTCTGAGACATAGTAGGCCGCCAGATTCGGGCACCACAAAATATCGCAGATCTGGAGTGACAACTGATGAATGCCTGGCAAAATGTGTCGCTGGATGACATTAGGAATCTCTACCACTCCTTGCCTCAACGAATTCAAGCATGCGTTGCCACCAGGGGCGGTTCGACCAACTACAGTCAAAAGTCGTTGGAATCACTTACAAGTGGGTGAAATTAGATAGAAAGCAACATGAACATTGCGTAAAGCATATGACCATTACTTTTTTACATTATTTTATTATCATGTATGAGCTAATAAATACATATTCAATTTCATCAAAAACAACCACTTTCCTTCCATGGTTCGCTTTGATTTTTTTTGCAAAAGAAAGAAGTTATTTCAACAGAAAGTATGAATTACAATGCAATTGAACATTGTTAGCTTACGCATACTTAAACATGTGTCTGCATGGGATTTCTGCACAAACTACTAGAATCTTATCCAAGTGTGTCAAGGTTGCAATGAGTTAACAACAATACGCTTCATTTTTTACTGTGCCTCATACAAAAAAATCAAGCAGCGTAAGGTGTGAAGAGCATACACGGAACTCAACTGGTTCCCTGCACCCTATCAAAATGTCCTAGTACATTTTGATCCAGGTATGCTATGTAGAGGAGAGGTGTCATCTTGCTGGTAATACCTTATCCATTACCACATATTGCAAGAAAAGAATGGCAAGGAAAATGGAATCACCAAGCAATGTTAAATACTCTTCTCCAGTTACAGTACCTTCAAAATAGAAAGACCATATGATACCTTAGGAGACAAACCACATCACATACTTACACTAGGCAAATTCACAGCTTTTCAACAGTAATGTGGAGATTATTTTCAATCCATTACACACAATTATGCGTAGTGACATTTCCATTAAGTTTAAATTGTGCCTCATTTGACTAAGCAATGCTATCCATAAACCCCGAATCGCGTTTAAGCACCTTCTGATCTCGTTCACAAAGCTGTACCCAGCGATTAGGGTTATCATCACTTAGCTGTTGCCCCAGCCTTGGAATGTACCCTAAACTTGCCCTTTTTCAAAATGTATAGCACACTACTAGCACTTACACCACTCTCATGCAAGCCTTGCTTGAAGATTTGGTTTTGGTGAATGTTGAAACAGTTCCAGCACCACAAATGAAGATTCATCACTTGTAGCCATACAAGGTTGGCCTGATTAGCTTTTATGCACATCACACATTGTTCCACGGACATTAGATTTTTCTTGTACACATGTAATTATTACTCTTGAAAGCGGATTAGTCCCACACTCACACCTCCACTCTCTCTGAACTACAGCAATATTTTCAAACTTTCACTACCACTTAATAACCTGCATCTGCTCTTGAAAGCTCAAACATACGTCTGCTATGTTGATGTTACTTCACTTGACACTAACTGGATTGTACAGCTAGATCAATGACTGCTGTTACCTACTGAGGAAACATAACATTATGTTTTCTTAGAAATTTAATTTTGTAGGTAGGAAAATAAATTTTCTATGACAGTTCAAAGTATGTATACATTTTTCTGATGCACACTGCACATTACATTTAGAAGTTCACCTTGGATATTGCAGAATCTTAGCAGAAATTTTACTTTATTTCCATTTTAAATTTTGCTCGTGAGGATAAAAGACTTACCTTATTTTCATTCCCTGGATCTCTATACAACATTTTTTCAACTTCTCCATTTTGGGCACTTTTGACATAGACAGGAACAGCTTGGTTGGTCAGTTTCTAAATAATAATTTTGATTAATTTCAAAACTTATAAAATATTCAGATTATTCAATTAAAGAGTAAAGGAAAAAGATATACAGAAATATTAAAATCAATCAACATAAAAACATTACCGAGATTTTAATTATAAATCTAAATCACTAAAATTTAAATATAAGGCTTACTTGATTTTCAGAAATGTAAAACATAAATAAGTGCCAACCACCTGCATACAATGACAGGCACAAAGTTTAAAACACCTAGCATGGAAGTATTTTTTAAGAAATGACTCAGTCATTATTTTTAAATAATAAAACTTTTTATTCCTTACCACAAATTATTGAATGCAAATATCGGGGGGGGGGGGGGGGATAACTGCAGCCAAGAAATTTTTTCAAAACTTGAATGTACAAACATTCACTTCAGTGGAAGCATTAGTAGAATGCCTCTTTTACATGTACATCTCAGACAGTCCATTATATCATACTGAATAGCTTGTCCAGAAATGCTGACCTTACAGAAACACTTAAATAATGCAGAAAAATGGAGTTGGAGGATAAAACATTTCCCAAAAAGGTTGTTGTGGTTTGATGAAAATTTTTCTCTGATCAAAGAAACACAAGTATTTGCATTCGAGCACACTTTTTACAAAATGCAGCATCACACTAAATAGTCAAAAGATGCTTTAATTTCTATTTGCATGAGATCACCTGTGTATGCTGCCCCACAAGATATTACTTCACATATGTCTTTTATAAAGAATATACTAACATCCTCTAACAACAAAATTCAGTTGTTGCAAGTTTTATACATGTGATATGATTCTTCCACAAACTTTTTTTGAAAGAGTTATACATTTCATATTATGGTGGTATAACTACGAGGGTATACTTTGAGCTTACATTACTGCAGTGGCTCTCAAGTTTTTTTGCCCCATGCAACTCCAAAACTGAAAAATGCATATACATCTACTTAAATTTAGATTATTTTTAATGTTCTTTTAATTAAACCAAAAGTATAGAAAATGTTGATAAAACTTGAATAAGAGTAATTTTTTATATACATAAACTAAAACAAGTTTAAGAGTAAAAGGCTGACCACATCCCACACATGAAACCATGAAAATTTTCCCCCAAGGGGAAATTTCAACCTGGCTGAGAACCCCTGTGTTATTGGGTATATATATTTCAGCCCATTCCATACATGTCATATATATACATTTTAGGGAAGAAGCATCATAAGTAGAACTTGATGATAGAGTTATTTTATTTATTAACAAGTACATAAAACTTGTTAATAAATAAAATAATATGTTAGAATATGGATACATATTAGCTTCAATCATTAAAACATTTGTATAAAAAATAAATATATTAAAACACCAGGAACATTAAACTGCAGTTCTGACAAGATCTTCTCTCGGAATATCTTTCGCTAGTCAAGTCATGAAGAAAGAAAGAAAGACCAATCAAAGAGTACCAATGCAAACATTTATAGTGAACTATAGTTTTATAGTATAAAGCTATATGGCTTGTCATATACCTACATATGCATACCCGCAATGGAAAAAACTCATCCTTCAGAACATAACTACAAAAAACCAGTGTGGAAATTCTACATGCTGGCTGTAATCTCCTATTCCTAGTAATTGTCTCTATAAGGAGATAAACACTAGTTGTGCATACTTATTACATCTGGACTGAAAGACCTTAAAGATGTGTTAAATAGCTAGTGCAGTACATATATCTTACGTTCAATTTCACATACATCCATTTCTATCCATAGACCTATAAGCAAAATACATATTGGCCATCTCAGCCTAGTATAATATCATTATACTTAGGCTGAGATGACTCAGATGTCATGCAAAGTCAATGACTCAGATGGTAGTAATATTTAATTTATTATTTAACAACACCTTTTTAGCACCTTTAGCTGGCATTTCTTGACACATGGTCCAACAAAAGTATGATTTTTTTAGTATTCTGGATATATCAAGGAAATTCGGAACATGGCTTTTGTAATACTTAATCTAGAGGAATAAAAGTAAACAGGCAATTCAGTTTATTATGAAAAACACATATCATAGATAATTCTAGCTGTGTTACAGTAGTTTTCCCTTCCCTATGTTTCGGAAATCTCCACCAACAGAATTAATATTTTCACTTAATTACATATTAACCTGTCATTTACTATTCTTTGGAATTCAGTTTTTTCACATCTGCAGATACAAAAATCTCCTTACTGACTATAAAGTTCTTAATATTTTAGCTTGTGTTGCAACATACAAATGATAAACATAAGAGGTCAATATTTAATATATGATTTGATTTAGTTGATTATGGCAAAGCACACTAGGGCTATCTGCCTAAAGGGATGCCATTGTAGAGAACATTTTAAGGGAAACTGGCTCATATACAAGTTACACATGAGGAAAATCACGAAAATGCCCAAGCAGCTAGCACATTTGCCTGTAATCAAACCCAGGTCATACCTACCACTGTTCAGCGATTTTACCGCTCGCCCATTGGTGGGCACATTTAATATACGAAAAAATTCTGAAGTCTTACATATTAACTGTGTTACTGCAAATGAAATTCCAGTTTGCATAGACACCTACATGGTGTGGTTATTAAATAATGAGATTGATCTCTGTCCATAACATACAGTAATGAACAGCTCACATTAGATGAATTCATTAGAGAGAAGAAAAAGACAGCTGTTGCTTTCACTCAAAATCAATCTGAGAGCAGTAATTGAAAGGACAAGGGTGGAAGCTTCGTCATGTCTGATGCTAAAAAAGCAAGCAATGGTACCTTTTTTTGAACCTTTTTTTGTTTCAACCTTTTGAAATTTTAAATTTTAAAGAAAAATTTCCAAAGGAAAGGAAAAGTATGGTAGGCCATTATACATTCAGTATAAAGGTGAAATATGTTGTTTTGTATACATCTAAAAATAAATAAAAATTGATTTTTCTCGAAACTTTTATGTTGGTCATTTAAAAAAAAAAAAAAAATTGGAGTTGGGGGGGAAAAAAAAAAAAAAAAAAATAAAATATGGAAGAAAATATGCACATTCAGATTTTATCACCAGCTTTTTTTCCCTTGTAAACCAGTGATTTTATCACTAAGATTTTAAAAACCTCAACAAATTAATTCAAATAACATACACAACTATGTTCACTCCACCTTCTAATATTACAAGAAACATACATATATTACTAGAACTTGAAGCTCTTGCTCATTTTTTAAAGCGGTGCATTATTCTTTTGCAAACATGGAAATTAAAAAACTTTTTTTTATTACAACTATGTAAAACTCAAACTAAATTGGCAAGTTCAATGTTACTTGTAGATTCCTTCAATTTTAGAAAATAATATATACTAAGATATCTGTTAACAAATTTGAATATTCTATTTGCATGACTAACTATAAACTACAAAAATTTGTGTCTCAGATATTTTAGAGGAATATTACTGCAAAATATGTAACTGTAAGATAATACATATTATAACTCTAACATAGTAGAAGTACGAATAAACAATGTTTAGCTAGTTATCCATTTATCTAACATATAAATGTTATAATCGATAAATTCACCTTTTTTATTCTTATTCACTTCTGCATTGTTCAATTCATTCTGTTTCCTAAGACAATTCATATTCTGATGGTTATTTTGCTACCAAACTATGTATGTATGTTTAACACAATACAAAAATATCTCGGAGTTCAAATTACTTTATCTGCATTCTTTACACAACTTTTAATCTACATTAAAATTTATTTCTATAGTGTTGCTTATTACATATATCCTTTCCTTCAACTTCTGATTTTTGTTATATATTTTAGTTGACATGATAAAGAAAATTTAATAATTAGCACTTATAATACTTTAAACACTCATTTAAAAATATCTTCGGATTTTACTGGTTAAGTGCATAAAAGCATTAAACAATATTATTTAAAAAAAATTCTTTTTAAAATAATATTGTTTAATTCTTAATTTTTTTTAGTTAAAAATTTTTTACCTTTAGTTAAAATGCAATCTTGCAGATAGTAAACTCTATTTACTTTTTAATTATTATTTAACTCTGAATTAAAATTTTCATAAAATCTGAAATTCCCATACAGGAAATTCAGATATATTACTTTGATATTTACGAGGGTTGGAACTTTAATAGTGGCAACACAGCTGAAAAAACGCTACGCAACAAAACCAAAGAATATCGAGTATACCACACGTAAACTACATACCTACCTTACCTCTCAGTAAAAAGACTCGTCCTGTCTACGTCACGCGCATGCGGAGTGACGCAAAGAACGGATCCTTGTATTAGCTCGCGGTCTAAAGTAAGTGTTGTCAGGATGTTTTCAAAACAAGAACAACGATGTTGGATAAAAATTGAATGTGCAAGAGGTCGTACAGCACGACAGTGTCATCAAGGGCTTCAAGAGGCTTGCGGGGAATCTGCATTGCCTTACAGAACCCTAGCAAGATGGGTGAAAGCATTCAATGAAGGACGCCAAAACGTGGCAGACATGCTGCGGCCAGGTCGTCCGAGTGTCAGCGATGCAGACGTGCAAGCTGTTGCCGCACTAATGGACAGTGATCGCCGCAAACGATTCGTCAGCTGGCCAGACAAACCGGATTAGTGCACACGACTGTGCTGCACATTCTGAAGGAACGCCTGTCCATGAGAATAATTGCTTCATGATGGCTTCCACATCAATTGACGGAAATGCAGAAATGACTATGATATGATGCTGCCCGAACCCACCTGGAGCGCTATGAGCGCGAAGGAGATGCTTTTTTACGCCATATCATTACACTGGATGAGACTTCGGCCAATGTGAAAGCTATGGTGATTCTCGTGTACGACTGTGATGGTGTCATCCTAACGCATACTGCTCCCCCACAGCAGACCATCACTGCGCAGTATTACTGCTCATTTTTGGAGCACAATCTCTGAACAGCTTTGAGAAAAAAACGGTGAAACTTTCTGCAAAACGCTTCTCACATTTTGCGCGATGGGGCTGGGAAGTGATTTACCATCCACCATACTCCCCAGATCTAAGCCCTTGTGACTATGACTTAATTCTTATGATGAAGGAACCACTTCGTGGCACTCGCTTCCAAACTGTTCCTGATATTCTTGCGGCAGTAGACCGGTCCATTCAAACTATCAACAAAACAAGCGCTGCTACAGGTATTCTGCGACTTCCACGTCGTTGGAAGCGATTTGTACACAATGCTGGCGACTATATTGAAGGACTGTAAAACATGGTGACATGAATCACTTTTGTATTCCTTGTAAATAAATAGTTGCCACTATTAAAGTTCCAACCCTCGTATAATATGTTATTGGTTATGCTTAGAACATTGCCATCAACAATGTGCAAAATTTGCTGAGTTTTTGAAAATCAAAGTTACAGCAGAATATACCCAATATTTGTCCATCAAATTGCTTTTGCCAATAAAGGTAAAAATATGACATTTTACACATAAACACTTTAAAATTTTGGTAGCAAATAACTTTCATGTGCTACTGCAACCATATTATACATAAAACTCTTTTGAATTTAAGAAAAAATAATTATGTAAAAACCTGTATAATGTAATTTTTTATTCAAATCCTGGATCGCTACAGTTATATTTAAGAATTATTTCACACTTTTCATAATTATAAAAAATAAAATTTTAAATTCAGATACAAAAAAAATGAACCAGATTATTTAATTTCCATGTTTGAAATCATATTCAGAGACCATACACAAACTGAACACAATGTTTGCATTTATACATGACGAAGATAATATATAAGTTTATAAAAAGGTTTCTGATGTTAATATTGGGTCATCTGAAAAATTCTGCATTGTTCAAATTGAAGTATGTTTTCTTATTATTTTGTTACTTCTGATACTGAGTAACCTTGATCAAAGTGGACATGTTCAAATACGATCTTTTCTATTCGCATTGCATAATTCTAGAATGTGCTGGAGGCCCACCAGCGGCCGAGCGGTAAAGTCGCTGAACACTGGTACTTCGATCCGAGGTTCGAATCCTGCGAACGGGCTGGCTGCATGGGTGTTTTCGTGGTTTTCCCCATGTGTAACGTGTATACGAGCCAGTTTCCCTCAGAAAGTCCTCCACAAAGGCATCCCTCCCCTTAGGCAGATAGCCCTCGAGGCTTTGCCATAATTAAATAACCTAACCTAGAATGTGCTGGGCACATTTTTTTTTTTTTTTTTTTTTTTCCAGAACAGTGCTAAGAACAGAGAACCTATAAGTACTTTTTGTCATATTATGCTCATTTATTTTAAAATGGAAAAAAAAAAAATGCTAATTAGATTGCCAGCAAAATGTGTGCTGTTTCTTATGACACAGTTCCAAGGTAGTTTGAGAACTACAAGCCTGTAAATTTCAGCTCTGAACTATGCAACATTACATGAGAAAGATCATAAGGTTAGCCAAAATATCTCTTTTGGTTAGTAATACCAAAAGGGGACTGCATCCAAAAAAATTAATGCTTTGTGCACGGAAAGACTACAAAGAAATTATATACTACAAATTGCTGCCACCAAATCAGACGAATTCAGAAAAATACTGTTTCCAAATGGCAGTTTTAATATAAAAAAAATCAATGCAAAGAGCCCAAAAGTGACCAACCTTTCTATCACAACTATGATTGGCCCAACATTTCGATGAATGTCAGATGAAAACATACTGAGCATGGATGAGATGTTTTGTGTCATCCACGCCCATATTCAAGACCTTGCCCTCTTGGATTTGCATCACTTCAGGTTACTTAAAGAATCTCTGAATAGCCTGCAGTTCATTTTTTTTTTTTTTTTTTTTTTTTTTTTTTTTTTTTTTTACATTATTTAACAACATGTCAATAACTTCTTTTAAGAATGATCCTAATGACTTTTTAAAATGTAAATTTTTCAGGTGCTTGAGAGATGTCACAGAACCAAAACAAAAATTATAGGGGCAAAAACTCGGAATAAAATGATGCTAAAAAGTTCAATGTAGGTTTCCTATGTTTCTGCTCAGTTTCATTTGTATTTATCATCAGAAAATTATAGATGACCCAACAGATTAACTGATAAGCACTCTATGCAAATTGTTATAAGTATTATTCAACATAATGCTTTTCAAAAATGAAATTTTATTCACAAAATCTTACAGAACCCCTGTACTAGAAAACACTGGAAGACTTCAGTATTGGCAAACAGCCAACTCGTAGCAGTGTTTGAATAATTTAAAAATGAAGAATATTTCTAGTTTGACTTTCTTTGTA